AGACGTTAATAAAACACAATCTAATAGATAGAAAAATTAATGGTTTCCGGTCATAGCTGCCTATAGCCACAAGCCCACAACCCTGAACAACGCATAGGCTAATTATTTGCATTACTGTATAAGAGTAGGCTAGGTGTAGACGTTTATAAACCATAATTTGACAGGTAGCAATTGTACTACCTACTGTTTCAATGGGGGATAGCAAAATCTGACAGGGTAGCACAAAACGTCCGTCCAGCACATTAACATACATAAAAAATTAACAACAGCGTGTTAAACAGCGAGTGAACGACCCCTAAATTCTTAAAGGGGTCATATATGATGCTGCTAAAAAGAACATTATTTTGTGTATTTGGTGTAATGAAATGTGTTTATGCTGCAGCGGAAACAACACAACTACAGCGAGAATAAAAGTTACGCCTTCTTTCTTTGCGTGAACATTTGGGCGGCGTTATGCAAATCCTCCCACATCGTGACGTAGATATGTGGGGGAGTGTTAGAACGAGCCGTTTTAGGGGGGCGTGGCTGACTCTGAACTTTTATAAAGAATATCTCTTTGGATTTGAGACTTTAGTCTTTGCAACTTTACAGATCTTCTTTATGCACCAAGAGCTTGTAACACTCCAAAGAGAAAGGAAAAACTGAAATCGCATCATACGACCCCTTTAAGGATTTTGGTTTGTACCCATCAAAATACGGTAGCTCCAAGTCAACGGCCGCTTTTCCAGCGAGCAGCAGAGGTGTGCGACGAATCCGATTTAGCGATGTGCCTGTCTGAAATAAGCCGCCTCAGAATGTGTGAAGAGTTTTTCTCACGCTATGCCACCTTTCCGCGTGTAAGAGCCTCCAACTGTCGCACAATCTTTCCAAGATCCTTCACATCGAGTCTGAAGCTCCACAGAGGGAAAAAGCCGCCGGAAAATTCAGCTGTCAGGGAAGTAAATCATTATGAATCAGGCTATGAAAACGGAATCGGCAGTAAGGCCGTATTGACTTTCTGTCTCAAGGTCTTGAAAGAGGATGGATGAGGAATTCACTTTTTTATGGGTAATTAAATTTAATCAAGGTCTTTTTCAGGTTTAGGTCTCGGCCAGTAGAGGGCTCTCTAACGGCGTCCAATGCTTTTATGAGCACAGACAGATGGAAACGATACTTTATTGATCCCTGAAGGTAAATGAAGTGCAAAACGGCAGGAACATCAAATAAAGTGAGCATAAATACACAACTTTCAACAAAAAGCACTAAACATTACATAGAGTGCAGCCAATCGTGTCATATAGGGCCATATTTAAGCCTCCCAGCATCCATTAGCGCCGTCGTTAATGATTCAAAATAAACTAAATGAAATCCAAACAGCAACTGAGCTGAAGGTTATGGCTTAATATAAAGGATTATACAATATTTTATTTCCCAAATTAACTTACAAAACTATGTATAGCTACCATGATGTTTACTGTGGTACCCCTTACAAAAATTAACCATGGTTTTATTATAGTAAAAGTGTAGTAACCATGTTTTTTGGCGTATTGATTACCATTTGTATAACTACAGTTTTACTACAAATACCATGGTTAAACTAAGGCTAGTGTAGCAAAACATAGTTAATTTGTGATTGCCATAGTTTAACTAGTAATCCTGTTTTTTGTTTTGTTTTATTTGTAGTAAAACCATGGTTCATTTTCGTAAGGGATACTTCAAGGAATACAAAAAAAACATGGTGCTTTTGTGTGAATGGTCTAGTCTTTTTTTAAAAGAGAGGATGTAGTTAAGTATATTTTTGGATTTAACGTCTGACTTGAATATTTTTGTTATAGCGTCACGATCTGCTGTTGTGCAAAACTGTGTTGTTTAACAATCCAGTCACACTTAAAATAATCCAGACGCACATGTGTCTGTCTGCTCCGGCCTGTAACTCATCACTCACATGGTTTCCAGTGAAGGCCGTTTCTCTGCACGGATCTCATTACCTGATCTCTCTCTTTTTCATTTCCCTGTCTCTCTCTCTCGCACTTCCATCTTGTGTACAGCTGCCTCAGCTGTAAGTCTGACCACCACTCTTGATGCATCCCATGAGTCTTTGGGGCAGTGTCCGCTCTCTTTCCAGACATGCACATTTGCATAACCATAAATCACTCACCAAAAGTGACACTCGGTAAACAATGAGGCTCTGGATCTCGGCCTCAGTCTTTGTTTCTGTACAGCTACAGGTTTCAATCAAAATAAAGAGATGAATCTTATAAAACATAGGCTAGTTCACCCAAAAATGAAAATTAGCCCATGATTTACTCACCCTCAAGCCATCCTAGGTATATATGACTTTCTTCTTTCATATGAATACAATCAGGGTTATATAAAATAATGTCCTGGCTCTTCCAAACTTTATAATGGCAGTAGGTAGTGGTCCAGATTTTGAAGCAAAATAAAGTGCATAAATCCATCATAAAAAGTGCTCCATACTGCTCCGAGGGGTTAATAAAGGCCTTCTTAAAGGAAGCAATGCGCTTGTGTAAGAAAAATATCCATATTTAAAACTTTATAAACCGTAATCTCCAGCGGATGATGTAGGACATATATAAAAGCGTTGACGAAAATCAAAATAAAGACACATAAAATAATATTTTGCCCAAAGAAACAGTGACTCTTAAGCATATTCCACCTCTCATTTTCATTATTTCATTCTTTATAATATTATATCAATTAATTAAAAAATATTAAAATATATCAAATATAAATATTAATAAATAAAAAAAATCTAATATTAATGCAAAATATAAAGTAATATATTTTTGCGTTGTGACATTTTCATGACAATTAAGCATATCCCTTCTCCCATTACCATAACACAAAGAAATCTCATTCTCTTGAGCAGTTGTAATGATATTATTTATTTAAACCGTATTATAATATTAATGTAAAATAAAAAGCAACATTTTATTTATTTGTTTTTTTGTTTATTTATCTATTTTGCATTGTCCCATTAATTTCATGACAGTTATGCACATCCTTCCTCCCATTCTCATTACCGTAATGCAAAAAAACCCCTCATTCTCTGTAATAGGAATTATATTATATTATTTAAATAATATTAAAATATGAATGTAAAATAATTTTTTTGTCATTGAGACATTATTTTCAACACAGTTAAGCACATCCTTCCTCCCATTCTCATTACCGCAATGCAAAAATCGTATTCTCAAAAATAGAAATTATATATTTATTTTAGTTTTGTTATAATAATATATAATATAATAGACATTATAGTATTAATGTAAAATGTAATATTTTATAATTAAATCTTAAAAACAAAAACAAATGAAAGATAAAAACTTAAAAGTAAAACATCCAGACCGCTTATGGTAGTAAGAATTGGAGTTTAATTGTTTGTGAAAATAATGCGAAACATCTTAATGGTCCTAAATTAGGTTTTATTTTCTCTTCATGTAGAAGATGATTTTGTGCATGGCTGTAAAGGGGCGTACATGTGGAAATGGATCTGGAGGTGACTTGTGGATATCCAGTTCATGTAATGACACGTTCAATGTCTCTTGGGCCCTGCACAAGAATGCTGGCAGAGAGCATTTAGAAACAGCTCTCAAATTTACAGCCCCATACAATAGAATCCCGTATAGAGATCTGGGTTTGACATCTCGTGTTTGATTGAACACTTCATATTTTGCTTTCCCACACAGGGCGACAGAAATAGGATAATTTATTGTACGACCCCTGACAGGAATAAACTACAACGTGTCCCACTATGAGGAGATGGATGCGACTGTGTTACACTTTCACAGGTGACTTGAACTGTTGACAGATGATACACTCGACAGAGTTTGATCTGTCAGAAAAGTGAACGTTGTTTTGAGTTCTGCTGAATGCTGAGTGTGCTGCATAAAACAAAATATGAAAACACAAATAAAACTAATTAAAATAGTACAAACAGCAGGGGTACCATGGTATCAGAGGGTAATATCATGGTACTTTGATATAAAACATGGTACAGATAGATAGATAGATAGATAATGTAAGTGTACAATTACAAAAAGTAGCTATTATGGTACTTTCATATATATCATAGCATTATATTAATTACTATGGTATTTATATAGTATTCCAAGGTAATATGTGACCATGGAGCACAAAACCAGTCATAAGTAGCACGTGTATATTGTAGCAATAGCCAATAATACATTGTAGACATCAAAATTATTTATTTTATGCCAAAAATCAGGATATTAAGTAAAGATCATGTTCCATGATGATATTTTGTAAATTTCCTACTGTAAATATATCAAAACTTAATTTTTGATTAGTAATATGCATTGCTAAGGACTTCATTTGGACATCTTTAAAGGTGATTTTCTCAATATTTAGATTTTTTTGCACCCTCAGATTCCAGATTTTCAAATAGTTGTATCTCATCCACATATGGTCCTATCCTAACAAACCATACATCAATGGAAAGCTTATTTATTCAGCTTTCATGTGATGTATAAATCTCAATTTCAAAAAAATGGACCCTTATGACTGGTCAAGTCCAGGGTCGCTTATTATAGTAGTAGGCTACACATCATGAAAAGACATGGTATTGTACATGTCTAAAATGTCTATTGTCATTGTACATGTCTAGAGCTTTAAAAGTAATCACTGATTTGGAAGAGATGCTCATTTCACTAATCTACACTAGATTAAAAGCACTTTCAGACCGAGCTCTCTCCTCCATCAAGTCCTCGCTTGTTTTGTGGTTTAAAGCTCTCAGCGCGGGGAAGGGGAGGAGACACACACACACACACACACACACACACATACATTAGCTCCGTTCGCGAGTAACCGGGCAGGAGGAGGCGAGCGCGATCAGACCTCCAGGTGTGTGTAGATGTATGTGTGTGTGTTCCAATGACACCTGGCTGGATGCATCATGTGATCAGATACCTGGGTGTGGAGCTAGCGTTCAGTGTGTTATTCGGCACACATCAGCTCCGTTCCTCCGTTCGCGAGTAACCGGGCAGGAGGAGGCGAGCGCGATCAGACCTCCAGGTGTGTGTAGATGTATGTGTGTGTGTTCCAATGACACCTGGCTGGATGCATCATGTGATCAGATACCTGGGTGTGGAGCTAGCGTTCAGTGTGTTATTCGGGAACGGGAATCCCGGAACCGCAGATCTCTGTCTCTCCGCGTGTGAGTGACATGTGAACTTTCCGTGCACCGGGAATCTATTCTTCTCAGTCTGAAGGGAATCCGTGGTCTGGACGCTGCAACTACTGCCAAGGTGAGAATCTGTGTGTGTGAGTTTGACGTGGAATATTGTGCGTTGTACCTGTACCAAAAGACCATAAAGCAGCTCGCGGTTGTGTTCGGGTTCAGACGGGACTCGTATTCCAGACGCATGTTGCATGTGAGATGATGTACCGATTGGGTTCATGTGTTATCGGTATAGCCGTTTTGACATTCGTTTCTTCAAAGTGTATTTATTTATGTCCTTATTACTTTTATGTAATATGTTTTTCGATTTGACTAGTAAGTATTCAACAGACTCTAGCATACAGTGTACGAACTAGTTTGTGACTTTTAGGTGGGTCTACCGTTTTCGGGATGCAATCGGGTGAGGTTCGTCTCGCGCTATAACGCCAATGTCTTGTGGCGCCCCTAACGCTAACCGTCAGCTATCTTCAAGACGTTTTGTGTTTGTTTGTAAATCTATGTTAAAGTGATTAGTAACGACTACTTTGTCGATTTACTGTCCGATGAGGATAACGAAAAATGCTCGAGCGGCGTATTGTCGCTATCGGAACGCATCGGCACCCTGCCTAACTTGTAGCTATTCTTACTTTTGTGTTACAGAAATGTTGTTCAAACCTATATATGTATGTATGTATGTATGTATCAAAAATGAATACTTAGTCTTAAAACACCTAACTTTTGTTTTGACTTATTTTGAGGGGTTCAGACAACCCAAACCCCCAACATTCGCGCCCAGTTGGTACGTGTACACTGGATGTTAGTACTTATCCTATTACTTCTGTGGTTACTCAAACGTTTACAAATGCTGTTAAGAGGTACTTGTATTGAAAAAACAAAATTTTAAGACCCTCAATCATTTGTTTTGACTTATTTTGAGGTTTTCGGAACCCAACCCCCATAAATCAAACCCTGCTAGTTTGTATTCATTGGATACTGTCGCAATAATGACTTCTATAGTCACTATGCCATCAGTGGTGAATAACTGTTTCATTGTTGCTGCCAACCTTTTTTCAATTTTAGTCATAATATTAACTATAAAGTCTGTCTGTCTTGATGGTTTACGATTAGCCTATATGTCGAATTTTTTTTGTTTTTATTGACCCTGACCAAAGTTAGTTACTTCCAAAACAGCCTAATTAGCTACCCCCCACCAAATATTCATAGTGAAATTGAGGCAAATATTATTCCAAATATCAATTCAAGTATTTTATGTATGTCTCATTTGCCATTTAATTGAATTATTTATGCTATAACCCCTGTGTGTCGACTACTAGTTATGACCTTGATTTGTCTTAATGGACATGATGGATTTTTAATGGGTTGGATCTGGCTAATAGTGTTTCTTGTCTTTGCTTTGCTCTTCCACAGTGTCCACAGTGTTGTGATTCACAACCACTAGTTGTCTGTTCTGTATGTACGAGGTTAAACTGTGCTTGTCTAACATCAGAGCACTCAGTTTTCTGTGCTTTTCCCACATTATTCACTCGCATTGCATGCGCGCTCAAGTACGGAGTACAACAGGTCCGGACGAGCTCTTTCTGTGCCTTTAACTGTGTAAATCCTGCTGTTTGTCTCGGCACACTGGCTCCTTTCAGCCGGAGCTCTGAAGTTGTGCGTCTCTCACATTGTACCGCCTTGTTGTGCCTCTAAATTGTGTCTTTATTGGGCTCTCCTGTATTTCTATGCAGTGAAAGAGAGGAGACATCCCGGGGGATTATCCTCATTAAATGCTTTAAACAAATGTGCCAGATTAGCCGGGTTTGTTCACCATGTGGGGGCAACGGAGCCGAGGGTGGGTGTGGTGTGGTGAAAAGAACAACCCCAACAGCAAAAGGCAGCGTCTTCATAAATACACACCATCTGCGTACACACACACACACACACATACACACACCACGTAGCCGGCATGAAATCAGGTCCTGCTCCTGCCTACAGCTCTCTGGCTTATCGGCTGTCCTGCGAGCATTTAGAATAGAGCGACTGTCCCTTATCTGAGCCGCGAAACGCGTGATGAATGTCCTCTCTGCACGGAGCTGAATGATTTCATTCACCTTCCGAATGTCCCTGTGTTTTACGCTCAGAAATCATCAATTACCCACAATCACCTGCAGGGCTGTCAGCGAAAGCACTTGGCCGGAGCACTTGTGTTTATCAAAAGCTAAATAAAGAAGTAGCATTTGTCTGATGTTAGCCTGGAGGAAGCAGGATGATGTTTAATGTCGTACATTCACCCTTTTCTCTGTGGCAGCTCCCATGACTTCCTCTTTTTGGAAGGGCCTGGTTTTCCATCAACAACAAATTATTCAGAATAGTTCACCAAAGAAATGGCACCGTACTTTCTTTTTTCCCCTGTGGTTTGGCCGATTACAGGCTTTTAAGCATGTGCTCATGTTGGTAATTTTTGTTGCCTTCAACGTCAGGCTGCTCTGCACTTAAAGTAATGCATGTTGATACTGGAGATTCTTGGAAAAGTCGGATGCTTTTTTCTCGTACCGGTGTGTTGAGTCTGGCTGCTCTGAAATGGCTTTTTTGCAGGGATATTCTGAAGTGTTTCTTAACCCTGTTCTGATGTTTCAGTCCAGAGAGAGACACTGAAGCCTCTACTTTAGATTCCTCTCATAGTTCTCAATTTGACAGTGCATGCTCTAATAATTAGGTAAAGTCGATGCGATGGAATAAATTGCGACTCTCCCAGGTTTTCTGTCCGACTGCTGCAAGTGACAGACATGTGTTGTTAACTGTAAACTCGAATGCTTTGTTTTGCCCACAGCAAAATTTAATCGGAGACTCCCACTCCACATTTGTTTGATTACGAGCATATTTTTTTTTTTTGATAATAAAGTTGTATTCAGTGTTAATTTTGACAGAAAATTTTGATTTAGTTTTAGTCATAGTCTTTTGACTAAAATGCCATCTAGTTTTAGTCATTTTAGTCATCTGAATTGTTTTTAGTTTTAGTCTAGTTTTCAAGCAGACATATTTATTTCTATAAATAAATTTAGATTAATCTTTAGGGCTACTAAAGTTTTTCAGTCAAGAACAGTGCGTGATTTTCTGTTTTTCTTTTGTTGCTTGATTAACATTAATGACTCGTACAATAACAACTAAATTAGGCTGCTATCCCTTTAAAACCGAATGCACAGCTGCAATGGATGCAATGTACTGATGCACGTTCTCCCTACTGTTTACGTTCACTTAAGACGTAATCAACTGTGTTTACGTGAATACTCGTCAAAACAGATAATTCAACATCATTTTGTGTGTAATTCTCCGTTCATGCGACGCAAAAGAGTACTCGCGCACTGTGAGACTTGCTTTCTGTGTGTGTATGCCACCGGCCCGAATTGAGTTCTCTCTTGCGTCGTCAGATTTATTCATATGTGTGCTCTTCTCTTACTCCCACATATTGACATTTTTGAACGTTTTATGCGACGTGCAGCAAGTGTATGTTACCTTATGTCCCGCCGGTTCATATGAACGCATCTAACCTCCGAACCACGCAGCAGATTCGTTCTGAATGAATCTCTTCCCAAATCGGCCCTCCCTAACATTTTAGTTTTAGTTCATTATCGTCTCGTTGTCGTCGTTGAAAAAATTGTCGTTGACGAAAATTATTCATCAACAAAATTAACACTATTAAATCATAAAACACAGAATCCAGAAAAATTAAAATAGACAACACAATAAATAAATAAACAGATTATAGGGCATTATTATTGGTAATGTTTTTAATAAAGGATTGTGAAGTTTGTAGAAATTAAGTTTTATAAATTCCCTTGATTGTACATCCTTTCTGATTATTAAAATTTAATCAAACTATTAAAGTGGACAAATTACAGTGGAAAACATGGAATTTGGGAAGAAATAAAAAAAGATTTTTTATAGCTCTATTTCTATTAGGGCTGCATGATAAATCACATTCGATATTTAACGCGCATCTTGTCAGAAAGCCGATTCTGTAATCAGCGGTAAATCTCCATCACGTGCGTGCTTTCACATTGAGCAGCATTAACTACACAGAGCCGTTGTTCACTGACAAGCTGCGCAAAAAAATTGTGCGAATATGAACGTGGTTTTGCGCAGCTCATCAGTGAACAACGGCTCTGGTAGGTTTGAGTTGGAATGCATAATATATCGGTACCATATCGGTAATCGGCTGATATTGTTTTTTATTATATTATATATTTAATTGTGCATGCTTATTTCCTCAAATTTTGCTTTTTAAAGTCACAAATGCTTTAATAACAGTGCTAAATGTAATATTTCATATCTCAGAATGAATATCATTTTTCAAATTGTACTTTATAATGTTGGGATACCAGTTACAGTTACATTTATTTAGACAAAATAACATAAATGTTATTGCAAATAATTATCTGTGGATTTTTAATGTACTTCAGCAGATATTTCTATATTAAATTTCAAAACATTTATTTATTATCAGACATTATTTCAATAGCAGATTTCAAAACACAATTTTATTTGTAAAATGTATTTGTGTAATTTTCTTTTTTTCTAAGTAGAATAGATTTATAACATGAAAATAATCATTGACTTATCAGTACCAACTATAATTGTAATTAAAAATTTTCCTTTTATACTCTCATCGCCTCGTCTTTAGGTTTGTGAGTCAGTCCTGTAAGGCCACACCTTCGGGTTTAATCTGGCTATTATGCCATCTTGGTGACGTGTGAAGTCGAGAGAGTAGTTTTAAGTCCCCTGATTCCCCTAAGGCCCGAGCTACATCAGTTTACAACAGCATTATGAGAAATAATGGGCATAAGGTGAGATCGCATTCATTCTCACGCATGCTAATCAACAGCTGGCCGCAGATCTGTGCCGACTGGGTGTCTTTATGTAGCATACGGCCTTATCATTGCTCCAGCACCATATATATATATATATATATATATATATATATATATATATAAATAAATGAACTTTTCCACGACATTCTAATTTATTGAGATGCACCTGTATATATAAAATACATCTCTGTACGCTGACTAAACCAAGAAAGTCACATCT